TCCCGACACCATCCTAACTATGCTGATACGCATTGCCATTCTATTATCTGGCTCCGACCCAGTTATAACAACCCGTCCAGAATATGCCGACTCAAACTCAACACCTCAAAATCCCAAAACACATGCTTCACCATCCGTCTCATATCTCTACCTCAAATCTATTATAACTTCACCCCTTTGCAACCAAAAATGTCATCTCCCAGTTGAGATGTAGGTAGCGATTGACCTACCTGACTTCAAATGACCGAACTAAACCAACGGATACCGATTACGTAGGACCGTTGTACACTACAGACTAAACTGTTCGTGACCTGGTGGTGCGCAGGCTATCCAATAATCGACCGATTTCATACGTGTAGTTGCAGGTGAAAACGGCATTGGACAGCTTAATTCCAATGATTCTACAATATGTTACAAAAATTTAACACAATTTATAAAACTTGTTTACGTTATTATAAATCTCAGCAACCTATGGGCGAAAACGGCCGCATAACATCTGAGAAAATATAAGCACTTCTAGACAACATATCTCTCCTCCATCGAAAACATAAAGGTCACATTCAGTCCTGAAATAAATATGGACATACCACATAGAACTGTGGGTTCGCATCCTCCCTCTATCTCTTGTATAACGCGGACATGGATGTTTCTCAGGGTAGCGTCCTCGGTCCATTCCTGTGCTCAATACATACTGACATTTTATTGAACCCTCCAAACACACTTATATTCCTTTGAAAAATTATTTTTCAAAAAAGCGAATCAAACCAAAAACAACAAAATCTCAAAACATAACCTACACCCATTGCCACATCACTCTACCTCATCTATTTTAACCGTAACCCTTTTTAACCGAAACTCCATCTGCTACTATCGACCGTCCTCGATTAACCACATAACGCTTGTAATGACAGAACTAAATGACGATACAGATTACTTAAAAGACAACAAGACAACGGATACTCTAAACGATATAAACCTATAGGGTTCGACTCAACCTTCCAATCTCCTTAGAATCTAGACTGTACAATCACGAATCCTTATATCTATTGGCGTTGGCGACTCCGATGGATGTTTCTAACTGCATAATTCATAAATACTTCTTTTATAAAACAAGTTACAAAATCCAGCTACAAAAAATTCTACACTAACCTCCAATCCCTCCCTAATCCTCATGTGGATCAACTTTCCTCCCGATGTCTTCCCAGTAATTTTTCTACCGGTCTAAAAAAGAGAAATAATTTAAAAAAACAGTGGCTATTTGAACTTCAAATTAATCAATGATGTAGGAGTGATATTGCTGAATACCTTGTCCAATCGATTTAATCTTATGTTGTTTCTATGTGATCTTTGTAACTTATTGATCTTCGCACAGATTGTTTCTAAAAGAAAAAATATATTGATAAAGCTCTCAAACAAAAATACATCGGCCTGAATAAATTCTTAATAATTATTAAGTAGGCAATTTTTGTTGAGGCAGAATCGGAATTTACAAAAATATATAATATTAATAATGTTAAACTTTCATTAAATTTGCCGTTTTCGTACTTGAATGATCTTCAGACCAGTTTTTATATATAACACCAACATCAACTCGATTTCAGAACTCCATTACTGAGGCGGCAGTGTAGGATTTATTAATGAGGGGGAATAAAGCCAAGCCTATATCCCTCGAACGATGGAGATTTTTCACCACTGATATTCCCAATTCCAATTGCTTGAGGGGCAGATGAATTAATTGAAAAATTTATCAATTAATACTTCCAATTATAATTTTGGTCGTGGTCAAAGCACACAGCCCTAATACTGTACCACTGGATTAACAGATCTAAAGATTATTTATTTGTGGATATGACGTATGCATAATTTAACGGATTGTTTCGGTTTTCGGATAGCAGTGGATTAAAACATTGTGTCTCGCCACAACCAGTTACCCTAAGGCTGATCACTTTATTATCTTGTATCAGCTTTGAACATATTGCTTCTTGATTTGGACAGTCATATGGTCTCACGTCTGTAGTGGTCATCCTACCTGCATCTAGGACGATGTCAAACCTATTCTCATCATCAGTTTGTAAGTAAATAGAAATTTTAAAAAATTAAGGAATTTGTCAATAGCAGTCAATCGAGTGTATTACCGTGAATCATTCTCACAGTCACTTAGGAGGACGCAAGTCCAGTCGTCTGGCCAGGATCGCCTGGGAGGATTTTTTCCATAGCCAGAAAAATGGTTAGTGCTAAAGATTGTAAATAATGGATTATTAAAAATATCTTAAATAATATAAAATCATAAATACAACAAAGTTGGTCGTAGCGTTCTACAGTTGTTGTACCTTAATGATAAAAAAAGTTCTAGATTGAGTAATTTTTGAAGAAAAGAAAAAAAACAACGAAAAACATCAAATGGTACAATAGTAAATCAACTCGGTATATTACGTTATTTAATATTTGTTATGTGAACCGAATTTTAGAATATGATTGGTTGAATGAAATATCGTTGGGCTTACGTTTCGTTTAAAATATCTCAAGTATTAATTGTTGTTTCTAAAAATAGATCAAAGTTCCTACTTTTATTTTAGATTATAATAATCCATTCTATTATCATTTTCATATAAAAGAAAAAAATATTGAATTATGTCAGTTTGTGGACAGTAATGAGTATTGTATGTATTGTGTAATCATTGCGAGAAAATAAGTATCGCCTTGAGATTGGAATTGGCTAAAAACGTACTTCTCGAAAGTGTGTAAACTACGGTTTTGCCGTTGCTTTTTGTTCGATTGAAAGACGGAAAAAGGGCAATTGATCCTTTGATGGGCCGGTGGATTTCGATGTTCTCCCATCACCTGTCGGTTATTAATGCTTTTCACATTCCCCTTAATGCATTTCCTATGTAGACAGAACTTTGACTATTTCTCTAGAAAGGTTCCCCTTTTATTTATACAAGTTTAAAATCGGAATATCGGTTTCAGATAATATAAATTGCGTCTATGAAGGTGGGCCATTTGGACGGTTTACAACAATTTATATCCGTCCATCCGAGCTCCCTCCCTCTGTCCCTCGTTCTTCTTTTCATTATATAAATCGGTGAAACCGGCACAATATATATATTTTATAGTTATCTTTTTTATGTATTTTTAGTGCTTCTGACTAATTTGAACTGTTCTGTTTTTGCAAAGAAAATGGATGAAAAATTACGAATGATAACGACATATAGAACGTTATCTCTTCCTAGACTAAACCTGAAAGGAACATAGGAATTCAAAATATGAGCGAACGAAAAGAAGAAAAAAATATATATAAAAGAAATAAGTAAAGTCATTTATATAGAGGGAGGTCGAGGATTTCCAAAACCATGTAAAGTCACTCTCCCACATACGCTCTCACCCTCTCTCACTTCCTCTCACTTCCTCACTCTCTCTCTCTCAATGTTTATACCTCTCTCATTCTTTCTCTATCACTATCTCCCCTTTTACCATTTCTTTATCATCCACTCAATCACTCTCTCTCTCTCTCTCTCTCTCTCTCTCTCTCTCTCTTTCTTTCTTTCTTTCTTTCTTTTTTCTCTAGTTCACTCATTCTCTTTCTCTCTTTAGTATTTGAGAAATGTATAGTAGTCCATATAAGTTGGAGTTATTTTATTTTATAAGAAAAGAAAAACAAAAACAGATTTGGATAGAAATGAACAATAATTAGTCAACGGTTTATGCAACTGGGTAGGATGGATGACATCCTCGTGTCGAAACTCCCGAAGTCTTCAAGTCATTGTCACTTGAGCATCAAATTGCGCAAACTAGTTCCAGTGCAATTAACCTGATTCTACTCTCGTCTCAGGGCTTTTTCATCATTCGCTCAGCCGACGACGTTTCCTGAAATAACTGTTTCATAATTATTCAAAGCTTACCTGTGTACCAGAAGACGATTTTTCAAATTTTTCAAACAGGGAGTAATTTCCGCCTATACGTCCGTTCTATGAGGTACTTCTGTGATGTTCCCTTTTCAAATCGTATTTTCATTTCCTCTGTTTTAATAAAAATATTAACGATAGACGACGTATTATCGTTCGTTGTCCTCAGCTCCGGCACGCCGAGATATGGCCGTTCAAGTGGTTTCCTGTTTCAACTTCTTCGAAATAATAATCGATAAAGGATCTTTTATCTAACTGCTTTTCCTGATATCTACGGAAACATTGTTTAAGTCTATTGATAAAACGAGTGAAAACGAACTGGCAGGAACAAATCTAAGCATGTCGTTTCCTGCAGAAAGATTGTTTAGTTTTTTATTCAATCAAATAATAATCTATCTCATTATGGGCGAACAACTAGTCCCTTTTATTGAATCTGAAAATCTTTGTTAGAGCACAACCTAAGGCAGACAGCTGTTGCCTTGCTTTGCATACTGTGTGTTTAATTTTTATTACTTGTAGAATTTTTTCCAATAAAAACAAATGGTAATTCTGTGATTGTAACAAATCTATTTCAAACAGATTTAAAGAATGTAAATAAATATAGTCGTCTTGATTTTAACACCAGCATTCCCAACGACATGGGAATACCGAATTTTAGGAAATATTTTTGGTTTTTTGAACGTTTATACGTTTTCTTTTACTTATGCAACGAGAATAGATTGTAATTTCGAACTTGTTCTGAATTTCGAACACACGTTCGCTCGTGCAGAGGTGAAAATGGAAGGCTCCAGGGCCATCATGCTTTGAGGAAAATGCCATTACTCGGTTTAAAAACAATTTTCTTCTCGCTTTAACCCCTCTTCGGTCGATGTGAATTTTTCTTCATCCTCTTCTGAAAGCGGGCCGTGATTAAATTTAGAAATATGCGTTTGGCCCTTTTTTTCTTGTAGTTTCAGTTTATTTAGATTGCGGTCGAGAATATTTTCACAGCTAAGTGACAGCAAGGAAGAAATTCGCCTCGGGCACACTTCCAGGTATTCGTCCATGAAAATAGTATAAGGGCCCATTCACTGTCTCTTGTTTTTAGTTGTTTGATATTATGCGGCATGTGACGTCAAAAGAGAATCGAAATCGTTTCTACTTTCGAAAGTATGACAACCAAGTAAGGTAAAATGTAAAAGGTACATTATGGTACTGTATGCTACAAAACTTTCTATGGGCCAAAACGTTTTTTACTTATAATAAACATAATTTTTTTTCGTTTTATTTTGTTCTGTGTGTAATAAGTAAAAACAAATCGGAGACGCCAACCCTTCGTTGATTTTGAAGTACTTGCTTGTGGGGTAGCTGCGAAGGATTCAGTAGTAGGTAGAAATCAAGAATTCCTTGATTAAAAATAACTGCCCCGAGTGCCAAACATTGATATTTATTATATCGAATCGGAAAGGTGTGAAGTTTAGCTGGTTTATCTGCGTTTTTTGTTTTAATTGCATACAATGTTTATTGTAAAAGCAACTTCTTTGATCATCATGGTCAATACTAGGAAAATAAATACTTTTTAAGAGTTAAGACTTTTTTTTATACTATGAAATATATGCTAAAACACGTTGGAACTGACGGCATTTTAGCAAAATAATGTACGTTTGCTCTACGGAGTAAAGAAAACAGTCCGTTCTCGAAAGCTTATAAATTCAACAACCATTCTAAACATGAAAACTCGTCAAAAAAGATTCTTTTCTAATTTTATTGATTTTTGCATCTGTAAAACAAAGAAGGCGGTAAGAACAGAACTATTGACCTTTAAAACTTGCAAGGAGAGAGACACAGTGGTGACCTCCTATGGTCAAATGAATAATGAATGGACTTCATGTTGGCCATGTGTGTTTCAGTCGATGGCAAGGTATATCTGGGATGGCAGTGCTACTCCGGACTGAGCTGTGGGACCAAGGCATTGGAATGTGTGGAAAGGGATTGCTGGCATTTTTAATAGGCTTTCGCTACTTCTGGAACGAAGATAATATGTGGATCTCGGTGGTGTAGAGTCTGGTTTGGAGTCACAAGTCTATAGAGGACTAACAACCTGAAGTGGGCCAGTGTGCTAAATAAAAAAAAGGAAAATGAAAATTGTTCTTAAACCCCTTCAGGATTTTTTTCATGTATGCTCATAATAACACCATCTGACAAAGCTGAATAAATTGCATCCGACTTGACTTTTCGAAACGAGGCCAATAACACAATGAATATTAGAAAAAAGCGCTCTTCTGTACACGACGGACGATCAAGGCTGATTCAACGCGTCCTTCAAAACAATTGATCGCTGCTTTATTACACTAGAAAGGTGAGTCCAAAATTTCAGACCGAATTTGAAGAGGAGAGGAACTTTTCATAAATAACAGAGTTGCTAAAAATATAAGATTCATTGTTGGGATAGAATGAGGGAATTGGCGAGAAGCCAGCTCCTAAGGTCAAGTGCGAACATCGGTGTAAACACAACGAACCAGGCTAATAAACATACGGATTAAAATGTGTAACTAATTGCTTATCGTTTGTTTAATTCTATGTTATTTCTTCTTCTTTATTTAATTGTTCTACAATGCAGGCTAAAGAAAGAATATTCATTACTTTTAATCATTGAAACCCTATAATGAGACATTTTCTGGGTCAATTTAAATGAATATTTTATAGTTTCAGTTTAACTACCATTTAAAATTCAATCTTACGAATTTATTAAATTTTTATACCATGGAAATATTCTATAATAACAATCATACCTAACTCCACTAATCGTTTAGTTATATCCTCCATACTTGTCGGCTTTCAGTAATGTACTAAATCTTCAAAAAACTCCATTTATTACTATAGTCATCTTAGATTTACATTTAGATGAGTCAACAATTTAATAACGATTCACGGTTGTTAACACTATATTCTCGGCTATACAGAAAATATTACTTGACTTTTTCGACATGGCCAAAGCTTTCTGACAGGATCTCGCATCATGAATTCAAGGTAAATAAATCACTATTTTTCGGTATTTTCTTAAACCTAATGAGCTATTTAACTGACAGGTATTTCGCTTATATGTGGTAATGATTCAAAAACGAAACGATCTGTTTTTATCCTGTTAACACTATTTAACCTGCTCACCTGACTATATCCTAACAGTCTTAACATATTTTGACTGTACCGCAGTCTTCTAACTTAATTCTTACCCATGCCACCTACAATATCAAGGGACATCTTGACCTCATAGAAGAATGGTACAGAATGTGGAATAAGAAACTGAACGAGAAGAAACGCACCCAAATTCCGTGGGAAAAAACAGTCTTGCCATCGTGCATACGACAAGAGCAACTATCGACTACCTAGGACCTGATAGACAGCGGAATGACGGAAGCCACATACAAGACATAAGGGACTAAGAACTGAAATGACGATTCGGACCGCTAAGAACAATTTCATACCGACATACAGAGTTGAGCTGTGGGGTACCGCCATTTCAAACGCTAGTCCTTCCGTGATATTTACTAAGTTTCTAACCTTAGTCCACAATGAACTTAAATTCGTTAAAGAATTGATCCGATCCTGTTTGCTACGGTTTTGTTCAAATCACTCAACCCGTCCTAATGATGCTGCTCAAGTCTTCTCTAATATCTGCCTACCCAAGACCCAACCACGTCGCTTCTAAGTCGATCCTTCTGATACTCCGCGTCCCTGCCTCTTTCAGATGAGGCGGTCTGGTTGATGCAATGAAGTTGCCCGGTTGAATCTCAACTAGTTTACTGCCGTGGGATTGCTGGTTTCACACCAGGCAACTTGTGAAATCAAGCTCTCTTCCCAACGGTAGGTCAGTACTATGTTAGAACCCGAGGAAGCAGGAGCGCTTCTTGGGCTTGCTCTTCTGAAAAAATAGAAGCAACAAAGGAGAACACCCAGTAAAGAAAAATGTGGGTTTATACGTTGTTATAAAATTGGGAAACGGACACGGCCCTCATCCTAGCACTAATTTTCAGGCCATCTGCACTACCTACCATCCCAAAAACCGTCCATTTCGCCTTAAACGACGATAGCTGACAATCAACTAATTTCTTCATTATAATAATTCCTAGCGACACCCCAGAGTCGTTAGTCGCTAAGTCCTCCATATAACAACAATTAATTACATGATTTGATAACGGGTTGGTATCTCAATTTTTATGCTGATATTCATAGTATCCATTATTTGTTCATGGTGGGACAAGTTGATCGTTCACGATGTGTGTAAATCGTAAAATATTAAAATTACAGATTTGTTAAAGAATCAAAGGAGTGTCCGTGTACTCCGGACGACTTCTCGGTGATCAACCGGTTCCCAGAAAGTCCGATAGAAAGATTCATTGCGGTTTACTTCTTTAATCTGCTTCCTTTGATTAACTGCGTGTCGTGTAATCTCTAACCCTTTTTACCTCCGGACATCTTCCCCCACAATGGACAGACAGAATACAGATGCGAGCCGTGAAGTTAAAAAAACGAATTATAGTTCGCCATTAATATTTTCAGTTTGATTCTATTTGTTTCCTTTATAAATGATTCGAACCGTATTTTTTCGTGTCCACCTCTAAACTGTGTCGTGTTCATTAACATTATTTTACGTGGGTCGATAAGGAATGACGGATTCTTGATATACGGTGGTTTTCAAATTTTAAACAAGCTGGACCTAATTTGTTATGATAATACATTACTGAAATTATTCCTCCATTCAGCAAATTAATAAATCAATTCCGACATCATTCCTTCTTTTTGATGGCCATTGTTTTTTGAGATTGAGAATTTTGAGAGAGAAACCTTACCATTGTTCAATTCGTCAGCTCCGGAACAGTTCGAGGAATACAAATTTCTGAACGAACTAACAATACGAAGAAGGTTAAATAAATATGGTTAATGGCCTGAATTAACCAGCCTTGACGAGAACACAACAGAGTTCTTTTTACAGATGAGTCTAAATTGCTCTACTATCTACAGACGAGGAAGAGTGTGGAAATTCAGTATTGTTCAGTATATTCAAAATGACTCTTTGGGGGTTTTGGCAGGGAATTTAATTGTGAGTCTTACAGAGTTGGTTGTGGTCGTGGAGGATCTTTGACAGATGCTTGCTATGTTGAAAATATGGGAAACTCATGTGTTGCATGACATAATAAGTCCTGTCCACAAGTTACTAATAGTCCAACAATTTCTAGAAGGATATGGCATTAATGTCTTAACCTATCCAACACGTTCTCCCGATCTAAATTCCATCAAAAATGCATGGTTTATACTAAGAAGACAAAAGAATAACAGCTCCTTCCATACACTGTACAATTTTAAACGGTTTTTCTAGAAGAATCGAGAGAGAGAGAGAGAGAGAGAGAGAGAGAGAGAGAGAGACAAACAGACAGACAGACAGACAGACGACAGACAGACAGAGAATGAACTAGTGAGAGATAGATAGATAGAGAGAAAGTGAGAGAGATACGGAGAGAGAGAGAATGAGAGAGAGAAAAAAAGAGAGACGGAGACAAATATATAGATAAATAGATACAGAAAGAGTGAGGGAGAGAGATAAGAAAGATAGAGAGTGAGCTAGTTGTGATCGAAAGATAGAAGAGAGTGAACAAAAGAGAAAAGGGTGAAGAGAAAGGCAGAGAAAGAAAGAAAGTACGAGAATGATATACTGAAAGAAAATATGAAAAGATAGCGTGAGATACTGAAAGAATTTATGAGAGAAAAGAGATAAAGAAAGAGAGAGTGAGAGGGAGAAATAGTGAGTGAAAACGTGAGTTGGGAAAGGAAAGAGAGAGAGATAGAGAGTGGGAGGGAGAGTAAGTTAGTGGGGAAGAGAGCGAGTGTGAGTGGGTGTCAGAGAGTAAATGAAGAAAGAGATATAGTGAGCAGGAGAAGTAGAGGAAAATGGAAAGCAAGAATGAGAGAGAGTAGGAAAAATAAAGAAAGAAAAAGAGAGAGAGCATGAGAGAAAGTATCGTTGATGGAGAATTGTATGATATTTGGCCTCCACCTATCTCTTTAAGTTCATTAACTCTGTCGCCTTTGGTTGGTTAATGTTGGAAGTTTACTGTGTTTTTTCTTCATTAAGTAATTTTAAGTTTCATATTACAAAATTCTGAATTCAATATTATATACATTACTGTTTTTTAGGTGCGGGGTCACCGAAACGTACGCAGCCATAATTATTTGAAAGATAATAGCATGTACAACTTCTAGGATGTCGGCGAAAGATTCGTGGGCAGAAAATGATAGCAAACACCATAGCAGCTCATAGCCAATTTTATTATATGTTTTATGTACAGATTTTAAAAAAATACGAAGTAAATGAAACTGAATTTGAATATGTTAAATTGTTATACGTTTGTGCATTAAAACACATTGCCATGCTTTGTTTTTATAGTTAATAAATACAATATTTTAAGGGTGAAAATCAATGGAGACACTGAATGGTTGCCTGTATTAATTGCTGACGGTTGGACAAGAGTTGTTCCCACCGTCTAACGGGGGATTAACATAGCTTTTATAGGAGGATATAAATCAATTGGGTATTGAGGAAGGAGTTTGAAATAAAGGGCAGGTAGTCTTCCTTCATTTGCATCTGGAATTAGCATGTGTAAGTGAAGAGGGGAAGGAGAGAGAAACAAAGGCATTTGTCGACTCCCTATTCGACAGCCTCCCTCTTTGTCCACTCACTGATTAGCAACATCGATCAGCTTCATGAGAAAATCCGTTGTACTCATTCCAGACCCTTTTTTCACTGATCACCTTTGACTCCTAAAATCCGTTCAGATCGAACAACAGGTTTGCGAACGGGGATTCCTTCTATTGGAAAACGGTTACGGTATGTTTAATTATACCAAGGTACGAAACCCGTTCTACTTTTATACAATGAAATCCTTTGTCTTTAAAAAAACAATTTTATTTGGTACCCTTGGGTTTAAAAATTGGACCATATCATAGTATTACTATGGGGTAATAAAGCTTTGGTCTGACTTTTCTGGACTCTTTCAGTCTATTCACCCCTTGAATTTTCATTATCTCTACTGGTTGGTCTGCAGACCTGATTTCCAGTTAGGACAGGCCCAGCTGGGAACACACAAGACTCACCGTTTCACGAACTCCTAACAACGAATCGACTAAATAGGAAACAAGTCACCACTGAAGACAGCGAATTATCGTCGATAAGCTTGTTCCATTTATCCATTTTTTTTCCTTCTACATCAAAACCTAGCAGGTATTGACCAAAATGTTCGACAACGACCAATCTATAATTCAAAGGGAAAATCGTGTACAGTGGAATGTGAGAAACTCCCATACTCCTAGTTTTTTCATTCAGATGTTTCAATTCGGAGCTCAGTCTTCAATATGAATCTCTATCAGGTCTCAACTTCAAAAAATCTAAAATATATTACGAATTCATCTCGTGTAATATTTCGTCTTGGATGTTTTTAAATCTAACGGCTTGTCTGTAGACATTTTCATTTAATAAAGAGGCAATAACACGAATTTTATAATAATAATGATAATATATGATATAATTCCATATATGTTGACATTTTGAATGAGTATGTATAAAGTATCAATATAGAATAAAACAAAGACATTGTTCGATTTCATAATTGATTAATAATTTATTCAGCTTTAAATAACATTGCGTTCACAATGCAGAATTTAGTTTATTGTAATATCCGGTAAACTTTTGTACTATAAATTTCATCCCTATATTTTGTTTTAAAAATAGTTAAGCTTACTTTTAACATAGTCTAAACACTAATATTTTAGAGGGAGATTTTCGATGTACACATACATAGGTGGGCATTCGAAAATCTGTTTTCATCATAAAGAAAAATGTGATAAAACAAACAAAAAACTACATGCTAATAAATATAGGTGTATATAAAAGTTACGTTAAGTACAATTATTAAGTGTGGACATCCAGATGAGTAATATAGCGTAATTAAGTAACTAAAGAGAAAAAATAATGATAACAATGAGGTATATCAATGACTAAAAGATAGACTTCAATTGAAACAAGGACATACAAAGGAAAGCTCGACCCGGGATGAGAGATTTGAACAAAACTTACTTTTTTGGTGAGATTAGGTCCGAAAATGTTAGATAAATGTCCGGCCGTTCTGGACGATGGGCCTTAGGATAATTCGGATAATTTTTTTTTAAATATCATTTTCAGCCGTTATGTTTACTTCAAGGTTGATATTTTTTAATGGAGGGGAAGAAAATAACACAGGATAAAACAATATTTTATTAATAAAATACTGAAAAAACAAACGATATCTCCTAGGACAAACATGTTTCTTTTTTTAAAATTAACATTTAATAAATTAATTATAGGAAACGAAAAATCGACGTTGTAACAATCTGTTCTGCACGTGCATATGGCAGATATGATTGAATAATCTCACCGATCTCTCTCTCTTTTGCTCTATCTATTTCTCTCTCACTCCGTCTCACTTTTCTCTTTCTCTTACTCTCTCACTTTCTCGCTCTCCCCTCACTCCATCACTCTCTCTCCTGCTCTCACTGTTTCTCCCTCACGAGCTGTCTCTCATCCCTCTGATTCTTATTCAATCCTTCCCTCATTTTCTTTTTTCTCTCCGCCACTCCATCTCTCTCTCTCTCTTCCTTCTCCTCTCACTGTTTCTCGCTCACTAGCTCTCTCTTATCCATATCTCTCTAATATAAAAGAATAGAATTGAAAAACATGAAAAAACCTTGTTCTTAACATTTCACCAAATTTGGATGGGCAGAAACAAATTGATTTCATTAAACAAAAAGCATACGCAAAAATTTATACTATCAATAACTTGTTAAAATATAAAACTACAAACCTAAAATTATATTTATACAAAACATTATTAAGACGGTATTTTAGGTACTTTTAACAAATTATATTCAATGCAAATTGTAACAATATAATAATCTTGCCAAGATTATTTAATTCTCATCATATTTCAAGTATGATGACCGATTTTATGATATACGTAAATTCCTAGGTATTTTAAAAATCAAAGATTTTCAACAATAATTGCTTATAACTTTATTAAAGAAAGCAATAACGATCCAAGAACCACAATTTATAGCTAATTAAAAAATATTCTCTAATACTTTCCATAATATAAATATAAGACCTATCTCTTTCTCCCTCTCACTCACATTTTTCTAATTGCGCGGGTGAAGCCTAAATTTTGCCAGCAGGAATTATACACTGATGAGATTCGGTCTACTGGTGGGGGCATTAGTAACGATTGTAAACAATATATTTAACATTTAAACAACGTAAGGCGCGGACAGACGGTCAAAAATATCAGTGATAAAAAGAAATTAAAAAAGAGTGAATGCTGCAAAACACTAGCAACATTTCGTTGTAATCGGTGTTCAACGTACGGAACGGCCGGATTTGTAGAAAATTGAACAAGGAAATAGGCAGCTGTAACGTCTCAATCGGAGAGATGGGTGGTTTCGTGCCGGCCGGGGTCTCGCAACACCGGTGGCATCGGGATTGATGGTTCTAAACTATAATTACACCAGATAGCCTTGAACGTCTCAATCGAATAAGTGACATCCGGGCGAAAAGGTGTACACATGGCGAGGTGTACATGTGGGATGAAAGAAAACGAATTATTTCCCTCCATCCGGAAAGGATTTCCTCCTATTTAATAAGGCTATCAATTAAAATTAATGAGGTTTTTACTATGGCTAATTATACCAAACGGTTATTAATTGTGGAATGACACACAATTACTTGGAGGGGAATAAATTAATGCGCATCGAATTTAACCTTCTCCCGATAAAATACAGTGTTAACGGCCTCATTAATTTATGAAATGTGCCCGCCTGGAGCAGGGAGCTGGACAATTTCCTTTCATTTTAATTCCAAATCCAATCTGAATGGTGGTTTAAAGGGTTTATTTTATATAAATCCAACCCAGAACTTTGTAATTAGTTATTGTGTTCCAAAAACAAAACAACTGTATGGAGGTTTAAGAACTCCGTGGGCTTGATCGACAATGATCACATTACTTCCACCAGGAATAATTCATCATTGAAGTTGGATTAAAATGGATACCATGAGTAAGTTTTGCGTATGAAACTACAAGAACAGAGAAACGAAGTATGAGTGGGCGCCGGTGGACGATAAGGTTGAGGCGTTGAGACGGTGAATCATGACTTACGTCTCGGGTTTGAATATCAGAGGCCCTAGCGTACTACATGGGGTTTAATAATACTAATAAACCATATATGTTTAGTAGTCCTAATAAATCATATTATACTTTTTATCTAAAGTTTTGATTGAGATGAAAAAGTTAGTGTTACGAGCGGGATTCGAACCCACGACCTTTAGCTCAATATGTCGCTTGTCAAACCACTTGAACTATCGTGACTTCCATCCACTCGGACACAGACTGCTCACCTCAATCTCCAACCTTTCGAATTTTCCCTCTTTCTGCCATATTTTAAAATACGTGTAATCAGGATTCCATTCTCAGCGACTTATGACGTGGCCACGGGGATCTATTGGCGTAGTAATTACTTGTTTAATTATTAATCCTAATATGGGTATCAATCATATACTGACTATTAATTATTTCAATTCATTATAATTTTTATCTAATGCCTTGCTTGATATGGCTATGTTAGTGTCACGAGCGGGATTCGAACTCAGGACCTTCGGTTCAATACGCCGCTGCTATAACTACTTGAGATAACGTGACTTCGTTTCACTCGGACACAGTAAAAACTGTATCGACCATTTCAATATGTGTAAAGGTTTGATAAATGTACACTGTGCTTGAAACAACTGCCATTTTCGAAGGGAATTTCGTTAAAAGTTGGCGTATTGAATAGTAAAAATATGTAATTACTAGAAAGAATAATTGTTTTGGTTTTTTGTTGATTATATTTTCATGGAGGTCTTGTTTTTCATTTTTGTGACACTTTCTTTGAGAAGTTTGTCAGGGAAGAAAAATAGCCATCTTCCGAATAGCGACAGTCAAAAATTGTTTAATGTTGCAAAACTATTTTTATAAATGAAGAATTCTAACGTAACCGAAGCATTGAAAAATCTGAGGTTTTCGAAAAAGTAAACAGAATTCTTCTGACCTGGCTTACTTCTCGATTTCATCTTCAGAAGATAAATCTACAAAAGTACACGAAAGCCTAATAATGAAAGTCAAAAATTGAAGTTTTAAAGTAACTTACCTTCTTTTCCCAGGACGACTACGATTTTAGCTCTCTTGGTATCATCTTCAGATGAAAAACTACTGAAATGTTGAAAATGGTAGCAAGATATCCGGAAAGTTGCCCAAAAAATGTTTAAAACTAACCATCCGATTATATGAATAGTATTTAAAAAAAAA